GATCAATCACAGTGAAAACAATACATATCTACTAACTGGTCCACTAACTGGACTAGCAACAAAAAAGTTCAATAGCTGAAGCTCTATGTGGGTTTCTTATAATACATCTGCAAATTTCATATTAATATTTAAAGCTAGATAAGTCTTGACCACACTAGTAGGTTTAAGTTATGATAAATTGCAAATTAGTCTGAGCTCTTACACTTGCATATAATTTATATGTATTTGTATTTGTATAAATTAAGCTGTATATAGTTTACTATATAATCTTTTATATTAATTATTCAATAAAAATATAAGCAAGATCTCACTTTAAAAAAAAAAAAGCAAAATTTAAAGTATAAATTTCAAGTAAGTAGTAAAAATTATTTGTAAATAGTAAATAACAAATATAAATATACTAAAATTAATTAAAATAGATAGATAAGATTAGCTAAAAAGTTTAAATAAATAATCTTCTAGTTAGGTTACAAGTATAAACAACTGTATAGAACTTTAAGTAAAATAGTTTAAATACAAACTAATTAAATTAAATATCAAAAATGTATATATAGCTAGTTGTACTTTTATTGCAATTACTAATATGAAATAAGACCCATGTAGTTATATTTATTAAAACATTAATAAACTACTAGTTTTTGAATATTTAAACAAAAAATTTAAAAAAATTTTTTTATATTGCCTATATAGTATAAAATAAAGAATAAACTAATTTTAATTATTTGTATTTATTATATTAATTTAAAATTTTATTAAAATTTAATTGCAAAATTTATATAATAAACTCAAATTATTTTTTTTTTAAATCTTTGACAGTCTTGCTAATACTCAGTTTATTAAAACTATATTCAGTGACAGTAAATTATCTCAAACAATATATACTGTATTTTCACGAAATAACAGGTATAGATGTTATTTAGAGGTTTGGCTCGAATTAAGTTTAATTTAGGCTAAAATTTGTAATTTCACCCCTGTGCATTATTTCGCGAAAATATGGTATAACATTCTTAACCAAACAAGAAGCTTCACAATTACGAGCCTGATATCACTTGGCTATGATAAATATGCTTACATGTGACTTGTTATACCAACCTGTATACAAGTTAAATAAACTTTATTAGCCTGTCAAAGCTTTTTCTTTTATATTTCCTTTCTTTACCAAGAGCAAAAGAAAGTAATAATCTCATATCTAATACAAAACAACCAATACTACTAAGAAGAAAAACTAAAAAAACTAACTAAATAGAACAAAGTGAAATTTTTAAAGGAAAAAAAAGAAGGTACAATAAGATGTAAAAAATAGAAAATCAAAGAGAAAAGTCTAAAGGCCAACAAAGAAGAAACTATTTCTATTAAGAAATAGTACAAATAGAATGAAAAAAAGAAATACACTATGTGAAAAAATACCAATATATATTCTTTATATATTTATTGAACCTGTGCTACTTATATAACATTTATAGATTTTATCTTTTTAAATACAAGATTTTTTAGCTATCTTATAGTTATACATTTAATGAGATCTAACTATATATCAATTCTGCCAACTAATTAGTCAATTTTAACTAAATATATAAATAATTGAAAAGTTTTATTAATTAATTTAAACTTTTCCTGATAATTACTTAAACCAAAATTTCTATTAACAGAAAACCAAAACTTTGTTAGAAAGTTATGGCCTATGTCATGGTTTGTCTATAGGTTAATATTTTCTTTTGTAAAACTTCTCTAAAAGAATATTTAGTATACAAGCCAAGAGTGTTATTATACAAAATAACTAGCAGGGGTACTTTTGTATAAAAAATTTTGGTGAAAGGTAAGCAAAGCTCAACTTCATTAATGAAATTTATAGGCTATTACTTAAAAGAAAAATATAGAAGAAACAATAAAATCTATATTTTTCTTAAGCTATACTCTTTTTACTTGGTCAAGTAGTTCTTTTTTTATTTTTTCTTACCTTCCTGTTGGTCTTCCAAAATTTTTTAAAAAAATGAGAATTTGGCTTAACTTCTTTAAAAAATCTGCATTGTTTATTTTTCAAATTTAGATAAACTTAATAGATTGCAACTATGTATTTTGTTTATATATAAATATAGTGCTACTTTATATAACATAGATCAGGTTTTAAGTTAAAGAGATATCAGAAGTTGGTTGTAAGTTGGAAAACAATAAAACATTAAAGCAAAGCTTTATAGTAAAGTTATACAAATATTGCATTTGTTATATAATTTTTTTTTAAGCCTAGCATGAGTTATAATAGTATATTTTATATTCTATTCTAGTGAGTTTTTCTTTAATTAGTTTTTTTTTTTTAGTTTAATTAGATTAGGTTTAGTTAGCTTCATAGGAGCTTCTCTCTTTGTTTTTCTTTTTTTATATTTCCTTATTTCTTCTTTATTTCTTCTTTATTATTTCTTTTTTTTTCTTCTTATTGTTTTATTTTTTTATTTTTTTTCTTCTTTGTATTTTAATTCTTCTATATATATACATGTGAATTTTACTTTATTTTTGTTTGGTAAAGAAAAAAAAATCTAAAGAGTTTAGCTCTTGACAAAGCTGACATAATAGTGTGATAGGTTATACTAGTAGTTATTCTTATAAAAAACTGAGCAATACCAAATTTGCTATATATAGATATTAGAGTAAATATTTTTATATATTTTTTTTATCTTTTAATAAAGATATCAATAAAACCAGTATTGTTGCTAAACCAGTTTAGTGAATTTTACTAAAACTAAAAAGATTATTAGAAGAAACTAAAAAATATTAGATTCTAGTAGTAAGTTATTATTAGATACTTCTAGTTTCATTTTTTTTACTACTAGATGGAAGCTCTAGTGAAGTCCAGTGAGGTCTAGTAAAATTTAATAAGTCAAAAAAGTATGCAAATAAAAAAAACAACTTTTTTTATTATATAACTTGATACAGATTTATCATATATAAAGTTATATTAAATACATATATATAATCTATTTGTAATAGTACAAGATTAATCTTTAGTATAACTGGGAATTATAAAATTATTATAAGTTTATAATATAAATAAATAACTATTTAACCTAATTTAAGCAAATTTGGCAATAGTTAGAGCTAGAGTGAGCTTATAGTTTATATTAAAGTTAGCTTCAATTAGGGTTAAAGTTTTTTTATAGTATAATCTTATAATATTTTTATATTGCTTAGCTATACTAAAAAAGATCTAATTCAATATTAATTTATGATCATATATTTAACTTTTTATAAAATATAATTCTATGCACAAGCCCAATTTGGTAGTTCATAATTTCAAAATTATAAAACTACCAAATCTTTGTATTATTACTTTGCTAGCTTTAAATTGATATTTATACTTTAAACTAATAATATAATAACAATAAGTATCCTTGTTGGTAAAGTTGGTTTTTAGATTATTCCAAAATAAAAAGATTTGTTTTTGAATATCTTAAAATTTCTAAATTGTTTTAAATTATTCTAAATTGCTCTATATAAAAGTACTAATAATTGCGTAAATACACTTTTGAATACACTTTATAGATTTACAATATAGTTTATTATATTCCTAACTAAGTTAGTAATAGTAAAGCAAGTTATATTATATTTCAGTCATAGGTAATAATAGAATAATTATAATTTGTCATTAATATATATAAAGAAGAAATTGGTGATTAAAAAATAAACACAAAGTATTTAAATATTATCAAGTATACTCAAGCCTTCATAAATGCAACCTCTATAAATACAATACCTCTCTAAATGCATATTTCTAGCCTAGTTGTAAGAAATCATTAGTGCTAAATACATGTTCTATATTTTGCAAATATATGTTTATTCAAAAGATTTTCTATATCATACAAATCTTTCTAAATGCATATCTAATCAAAATTTAGTATTCAAGTTGTATTATACAAGCCTATATATTAAGCATTAAAAGCTGCAATTTAATTGGCTTTCTCTAAATACAAACCTCCCTAAATACATAATTGAGGCTAGCCTGTACATATTGTATTTAAAGAGATTTGACTATAGTTTAATTTTAAACTTTACAAACAACACAATAATTGATAATCGTCTAACTAAAATTTATTTTAATTTTACTAATATTTATACAAAATTAATAAATAAGATTTTTTACATATATTAAATTATAAAATTAATCTAGAATCAAATTTAGATAGATACAATGTAAAGAACAGTATCATAATTTGAGAATATATTATATTAATCTTAGTACTCAAATCTTAATTATAGCAGTTTTGTTTATTGTAAATACTGTAAGCAGTAGCTGAAAAATCATTTATTTAATTAATTCTAATTTATCCGGAAAGTCTAAAATTATCCAAAATGCTGATTATCTGGAAAACCTAAACAATTGATCGGGAATCCCAAAACTATACCAGGAACATCCAAAGTTTAAACCATCTGAGAAAGTCAATTTACTAGTAAAAGTATGTCTGGAGCCGAATGCAAGAAAATAAACTTTTAGATCAGATTTGAACGTACAATTGTCTACATAGATCTATGATATACCGCATATATATTAATAGTTACCTTAATTGAAAAACTATTATGCCCGGCTATTGCACCTACTAGTAACAGTTTAAAACGTAATACCTAACATGTAATCTGACCCATGACAAACAAAACCTATTGTATTGACAGACCTGAACTATGAGAATATAATCGATCAGATTTTATCCAAACAATTAGTATTGAAAGAAATCCAGCAGTTGGTTATAACTATGTTAAAATATTATAGAACTGGACCTTATAACGGCAAATCAATTGAATCAGGACCTTGATTAGTAAAGCATGGTTCAAGAATTAAAAAGCACACATTGATCAATAAAGTAGATCCGTATAATAAATTATTAGACCCTAATATATCAATCAATACTGTACTTATTTAAATCACTAATTAGATCAGAACTGGATCAAATAAAAATCATGAAATTTATTACAGCCTTTAATATTATTCAACCTGAAGCTCTTGATATATTTTGATGACCAATATAGAGATCAAAGCCCTCAACGAATTAAACGAAACAAACCGAAACTCTAATCAAAAAGTTGGAGTTAGCTTGAAACAGAAAGCCCTTTTAGTATGAACAACCGAAGTCAAGTAAAATAAATTACTTATCTGAATGGAAGTTCTAATACCGAAGCCTTGAAAGTATCCGTCCAAGCCTAAGAAACAGAGGAATGCAAACCAAAATCAAGATAGTGCAAACACATGACAAGACTTTCAAGGCCAGAACTTCGACTATTCAAAAGTCAAGCAGACCATAAATCACCCTAATGAATCAATCTGAAAGTATTGACTTACAAAAATGAAATCAGCTTTAAAACAGCAAATTGACTCAAAATTTTTAAATACAACAACAAAAAGATAAAAAAAAATCTACTTATCTGAAGTAAATATCCACTATGAAGAATAATCAAGACAATCAATCTTAATGTTGATGGCATTTTCTTATTTAAAGAGAAGAATTTCTAGCAGATTTCATCAAGGTTTACTTGAAATATTCTTAACCCAATGGATTAAATTCTTGAGAAAGACTATTTACAATCAAACAGACTCTAAAAGAAGATGTAAGTCATATAGCAAATCTTACTGAGTTCTACTGGAACTATCCAACTTGAATTGAATTTTATTACCAATTTTTCTATTTTTGATGACAAAGAAGAACTCTAGTAGCACATGTGGAATACAGCAATTCTCACATTTACTAGAACTATCTACCTTTGGACATATTACTATTATTTTTTTTAAAAAAAAGCAATTTGTTTAGTATTATTATTTTTATTGATTATTATTATTTTGATTATTATTATTATTATTATTATTTTTAAAGCTTGGAGAGTTTAAGCTTTATCTCTTGCAAGTTTGCCGGCTTATTATTATTATTATTATTATTATTTTTATCCATAGATTATATATTGTTGGTGAACCTGCTTGTTAGTCGTATACTAAAAAGAATACTTAAATGTAAAGAATTAATTATGTTATTAGTACATGCCTCAACTACAAGAATTGGGAAAATAAACCCAAGAAAAATAATTACCTGATTGAAACTCTAAAACTACAATTTAAAATAGCTCTTGGAATCGCACAAGAATGATGATATTGCTACTGATAATATTTACCATCAACCAAGATGATATTGATTGCTGGAAGAAAACTCAGATAGTCGATCTATGATAAAGTATTTCACTCATGCTGGTCAACTGAATTCTAAATAAAGACTGCTGAAGAAAGTTTCTAATACTTCGATAGTTAAACCCACCCTGGACTTACAAGAAAGACACCAGTATGAAAAATAAAAGTGAAACAAACCTCAAAGGCAAGGAATGTATGAGAGAAGAATAGGAAGATATACTTATCATTGTCAATATTGCCTACTGAATGTTGACAAAGACCTAATGTCGATACTACCTCATTGAGTATTAATCGAAAAGAATTTAACAAATGAACTTCAAGATATATGAAGTCTCTACTAAAAGAATCTAGTAGTAATAGAAGCCCACAGTAAAGAAAACTACCCAGCTAGTGAAGTCTTGACTACCTACAATAGCTCTCAGGAGGAAAAGAAGAACTGAGTTAATAAAGAAGAACAAAGTTCTATTGTTCGAGAAAAGCTCTAACCAAAGTCAAAATTGATATAAGCTCTATGTTAGGATCATGAAACTAATTCCTTACTAGCTTAAAGAAAAACTAATACACCGACATGATGAAGAACAGCGAAGCAATTGACGAATCTTGATCTTGACTTGAAAGTAACTGGAAAGGAGAGTTACTTTAAAATGCTAAAGGAATTTAAAATTGACGAAAGACCAACTTGAAAGAAAAAGTAATTCTTGAAATCCTCATGCTAAGGTTACCATGTTGGAATTTATGACCGAAAGATACCGACGTGACGAAGGATAATAAAATGACCAACGATTAAAATCTAATCTAAAAGAGTATTAAAAGAAATGGAATATTAATAAGTAATGAGTAGGAAAATAAATATATAAGAGAAGAAAAGAATTAGGGTAAAATCAGAAGTTAGATTAATAAGCAAAAGAAGAGAAGAGTAAAACCGGTGATCTTGAAGTATAAATATATAGATCAAGTCATATGAATAATATTACGAGACCTACCAATAAACAAAGAATATCAAATCTACACAATGCCCTGATTAGAGAAGAGATCTTGTTTAAGTAATGGCTAGTTAATAACCAGAAGCTCTTAAAAGAAGGAAAGAAGTGTTAATATTAACCAGGAAATAAATTTAACACTTGTAGAATGGGACCTATAACCAGAAACTAAATTTACTAACATTATTAACATTATTACTTACATATTATTAAATTATTAAATTATTTTTATTTTATTTCATTATTATTTTATTATTATATTATAACACCTTTATGTTTTTTTTTCTTATAACTATATTATTATTATTATTATAAATTTTTATAAAAATAGAATTGTAGGTTATAATTAAAGTAGCAATAGATTCTAATTTAAATTTTATTAGAAACTTAGACATTTAGAAAACTTTCGAACCCAGATACTTAACACTCTTAAACTCAATGTTTGATAATTCTGAACTCAGATTTTATTAATAAAATTTGAAGTTTTTAGATCTGGAATTACTATATAAACTCTGAAATTAGCGAAACCAATGAACTGCAATACTCAGCCCAATACTTATATAGAAATGCATAATTTTTCTAAAGAAAATTTAAAAAGAAAATTAACATGTGATTGTACTTCTATTAACATTTATAAGGAGTGATATTAAAATTTTTAGTATCATTTGGATTATAGATTAATAGTCATAGCAGAGGGCTACCATTTGCAGACCCAGGTTCGAGACTGGCTAAGGGAGCTACCTGCTTGGTACCAAGCTCAGTGTGGCCCTTAGTTGAAGTATTTGAATAATTGATTTTTTATTATTATTATTATTATTATTATCAAATTTTTTTTTATTTATTTAACGAAAAAGAAAAGAAAATAACATAAAATATACATATAAAAGAAAAAATAGAAGAAAGAAAAATATAGAAAAACAAATATTAAATTCTGCATCTAAATCTATTGTAATACTATTTATATGCCTCTCTAACTCAGCAACCTGAACTCGCAACTGATTTCTCTCTTGAACAACTCGCCAATGCTCCTCATCTCTCCTCTAATTTTCTTTTACTGACTCTGCCTCCCAAAATCAAATTTCTTCCAACTCCACTTCTAATACAATAATTCATCTTCTCAAGGATCTCACCTCACACAACAATCTAAAAATAAATTAACAACATTAATATTTCATCTAAAACAATTATAAAAATTGATGAATATTTACCTTATATTCTGATCTTGAACTTCGATGAGAGCCTTATAAAGGGCCTCATTACCACTACGTCTGGCACGTTAGACAGCACAAGAGATACGAACTCGAGGCATTTTATTTTATTTTGTTATTTTTGTTATTATTATTATTTTATTATTATTATTATTATTATTATTGTTGTTGTTATAGTTGTTGTTGTTGTTAATATTAACGAAGAGAGAAAGAAAAGAAAATTTTTTAAATCAGAAAATTATATTATATATGCCTTATTAACTATAATAGACAAAATATGTTTAAAACCTGATGATCTTATTGGTTAGGAATGACAAAACAATTAATTACTAGTTTTTATTATTTTATTAGTATTGTAAATTAAAGTAAAACGAAAAAGAGCAAAATTTTATTATCTATTTATTTGTTAACATTTACAAAGAAAAATTCTAAAAAAATAGAAAAAGACAATAAAAAGAGCAACTACTCTATATACAAAAACACCCCACCCTCTTCTCCTTCTTGCATTTTCTTCTTCCTCCATTCTTCTTTTTTCATTATCTTCTCTTTCTTTCTCAAGTCGACGAAGTAAATTTTGAAGAGCAGCATCTCGATATTCAAACCAAGATCGATACCTATCTTGCTCTTCTATAAGAGCCTCACGTTCTTGTTCTCGAAGGACAAACTGTTATAAATGGTCAAGAGCCATATGATTGAGCTCTTCAATAGTTGCAGCCTAGTCATTTATTTGCTACTGCAACTATCTATAGATATAATATTACAATTAGTAGATAATTAGTTTTTAGTTATTCTTTATTTATTTATTTCTTTTACTACGTATATACTTACAGAACATTATTATTATTATCACTATTGTTATTATTATTATAATAATAATAAGTAGTGTTATTATCATCATCATCACTACTACTATTGAATTTATATTAGAAAAAATGTTGAGACATTTTTGTAGAGATTAATTGAAAATACATATAAACAGTATAGACGATACAGAATATAGTCTATTTATATAGGTTATCAAATACAAGTTTATTAAAACTCAATAGACAAAGACTTAGAATTTTATCAGCTTAAAATATTCTATTAAACTTTTATTTTATTAAATTTTATTAAAATAGTTACATTAGATAGTTTATTAGATTTAGAATTTAAGCCCCAAAAAATTTATTAAGGAAAAAGAAAGCGAAGTAAAACATAAAACAAAGAAGAACCAGAACAACTACCAACTAAAACTCGGACTACCCTCCACCATATACTGCAATGCCTCAACCTTTGGCTCCAAATCCCCTATCTCCGTCTCCAAATCTGTCACCCGCACCCGAAGCTTATTTCTCTCCTCTTACAATCTTGCTAACTGCATTTTGTACTGGTAATTTAGCCGCACCAGCTCCGTCGGATCATGTTTCTGGACCTGAGCTTGTAGGTTTGCAACCTGGTTTTGCAAACCCGAACAATGGACGGAACGGATTGGCTACGAGCAATACGTGGCATCTAGATTTAAATACATAAAAAGTTAGAAAAGGAATGCTTTTTCCAAAATAGATATACTTAAAAGACAGAAGTATAGAAAAATATGAAGAAAAAGGAAAAGACAAAGAGAAAAGTATCCACTGAGACTATACAATCAATCATGCAAGTCATAAAGAAAATCAATCATCCAAGCACAAAGGACAGTTAGCTCACTTAGACGTGGAAGGCTGACAGTTGCCCTGAAAGAGTAAAGCCAACGAAGTTTAGTACACAGCCCGAAAAGTATACCTACTTTTTGGCAGAATACAAAAAGCAAAGACCAGGAAGACAAGAAAAATTAACAAGAAATTATTACTAAAAGAAAAAGAAAAAAAGAGTATTAGACTAAAAAGTTTTTAACATAAAGAAATATAGAAAAGGGAAATAGAAAAGACTATACAAGGAAAAGAAAATTTGTGTGTAGAATTTTGAAAAACAGCATACATAGAAAAACAAGAATATAAATAGAATTAAAAACAATAAAAATAATTTTTCCAGGACAAAGAAAATTATCGCATGGCTGAAACAAAGAAAATCACAAACAATAATGATGTAATTTACAAATCTAGACAAAGATGAACAAATTAGAAATGAAAGTTAATTTTAGACATATAAAAATAGAAGTTCGGTGGAACTCATAGAATTTAAGGGGGGAATAGACAAAGAAAATGCTTAAACACATACTAGGCCAAAACTTTTTGCCAAGTATACCAAGCATTGCCAAATAATGCTGAATTAAAAATTTTGCACATGGTTGTTCTAAAAAGTAAAACCATATAGTAGATA